GTAATGATATTCCTGCCAAGTAAATGAAAATAGCTTGTTTATTTCATTGGAAGCTGGCAGCTGCTGAAAGGAGTTCGCGATGATTTTCAACATCCGATTGCTTCGAAAGAATTTCATATTTTCCTTTCTTCAACCTCCGAAGAAACTTTCTAGGATCGATGAAATATAGCTGGTGTCGTTGTAGATTCGATATTGTTGACAAAGTCGGTGGCTTTCTAAGGTTTTACTTTTAACTTTCCATTCTAATTGGCATCATTTAGCTACAGAATTTGTAACCCCCATACAGCTTCTAACGAGCAATCAAACTATAATTTGAGGTAATGGTTTAAAAAATGAAAGGCGTAAATTTATTAGAAGACTACAAAAAAATACGAAAAGGTCGAGGAGGACGCACCAGAACAAGGTGATACAATGCCAAATACTCAATCAACAGATAACAGGTGTCGTAGCGAACTTGTCGAGATTAGAGCATGCGTTGTGAGGGCGCGCGTCAAACTTAACTGAAACATCCAAAACCGAAAATTGCAATAAAGACGACAAGTTGCTCTGTGCCACAATAATGGATCCTACACCTGCTGAGCTAGGGCGACAGAAGCGCTCTCATAGTGAATCTGCAGCTCCAAGAAGATCCATATTCCGAGATCTACTTACTCCAACGGACAACGAAACTAGGTATGAAGCGACTTTAACCACATTCTGTCTGTACATAATGTTTCGTTTCCCTCAGGCGCGTGCTGTCATTTGCGGTTATAGCTTAGAGATACTGTGTAGTGCAGTCAAACATTTTCTAATCTCGCTTTAAATCAAGCGAAGTATTACTGCTGTTCAATTTGAAAATATTTTTTATCATAGCTTTCCTTTTGATCTGATCATTGGGTTTCAGAGTGTCAAAACGCGTGAGTTTCAGCTCAAGTGAAAACGATCAGGGACGCCAGTTTTGTTCGACTCGTATTAGTTCTGTTTACTCAAAGGCATTATGCAATAGATCAGTCTATATTTTCAACTTTTAGCTCGATTTTCATGGTTAAAATGTCTTACACGGGTGTTAATACAATATTGTAACCTATATGTTAGGTTGTTTTCCAGGACCGGCGTACGATTTACTCAACCAGCGCTTGGTGCTATCGCACTGTTGATTTTTTAATTGTTCATTTTGAGAAATTAAAGCTGGCACTCTTGAATTGTTTGAAACAGCAAAATTTTTTTGTCCGGGTATTCATTCAGTGAGCCAAATGTGCGTCGATTCTTTTCCTTGGACAAATCTCCAATATTTTATGCTAAATCCTTTTGATGCAAATGACTACCACAGAACTCGTTGCATGTCCTCCCGTATACATTTGACATGACAAAAGTTTTTTTTAGTAGATAGCTGTGTGAAGCACCATGTCACCGACTTGCAAAGTTGTTAATGATAAAAAAAAAGATAATTCAAATCATTTCCACTGTGAAGTGTCCTGCGCGCAATGCCGGAGAAAACATGCCTTGCGAACAGCGGGCGGGAAAGGATGTCTTGAAAATGCGAGCGTAGCGACTATATTAACGACATTCTAAACAGTGGAGGGCGTAGTTAACATTTAAAATGAGATTTAGTGTTCATCCCACCTTTTTTAAAATTTTCATCAAATTTGACTTTTTCGACGTTTTATTCAGCAACAAATTTATGTGATTTTTATCACGGTAAACGAACAAGAAAATTATTCCGAGTCCAAAATTCAAATTCAAAGCAGCGAGACGCCAGTCACCGCAGAAAATTGTCAATATGCATAATATTTTGTGAATAATTACTACTTCTGAAGAGAATACAATCGCTTAAAAGAGGGCGACAGTTTGTTTGACAATTTTATGGTGTTGACAACACTTCAAAATAAGTTAACCATTCCTACTTCTTTGATTGAATATTTTTGAAAATAGGATTACTTGAGGTGACAAGACTTAACATTATCTTGACTTTTCTCAATAAATTTTACTGCAGGCAATATTTAAAATATTTATTTAAATTTTGGTCAAAGAAAAAGTCACTTTAGGATTTCATACAAATTAAGAAACTTTTGACACCTCGTGTCAAAATGTTTATTTTGATTCCCTCCCTATCAAATGTGTGTTTTTATTACCATTAACTATTCGGTTGCGGATTTTTTTCAATATCGTATCTCTCTTAAAGGGGTTCTGTCTAATACAGACCAACACAGCTTGCAAACTAAAGAGTTCGGTCGCTGTTGTCTACTTTCGAAACAATCAGACGCAAACAGCAGAATCACCGAGATGTATCAGAATAGCTGGTAATGATTATCTCCTTTTTTTAGGATTTCCAGCCGAAAAAAAGCATAATTATTTTCGACTGGTTTGCTCACGAACTTGTTAATACGTGTGTTGCTTGTGAACTAGCGAAGATATAAACAGTTCCCCAAAACGTTTTTAAATTTTTTCTTACCAAAAATACAGATTTTACTTGGACAAGTTACCGTATTGAGTATTTCCAACCAATTGGAGATGATCAGATCGATCCCAGAGACTTGAGATTTGACTTTTCTATTTTTTAAAAGCTTAAATTTCAGCCTTTAAATCATGTCTTTAATAAATTTAATTGGTTCTGTTTTCTGACTGCCTTGGGTACCGCTGTTTCGAGTGAGCCGAGAAAGAAATTTTGCACCACTCTGAGACTTTTTGTGTCCTGCTCTGCTTGTCAGAAGCCAAAATTGATTTTTAGTCAGAAACCCCGCCGAACTACTTCAATGGACTTTATACAGACTGCTTTCTTTGTGCCCCCATCAAATTAAAAAAGTATACTCCTTTATTTTCACAATCTCGTGGATCTTAACGACCACGACGATGCTACAAATCAAATGTTTTGTCAGTGCGCAACAATGGTGTAACGCATTCAGAGCAGAAACAAAATACATTTGACATCCTTCTAACGGAGCAGGTGGTCAGAGGACCTCAGAGGAGCACTTTTGTGGGGGCACTGAATAGAACTGCGATTTACGTCCAGTGTAATTACTGCCGGTGTACATACAGTCTTAGGTGCGAGAATAAAGCCAGTCGTGATCAGTGGCGGATGTAGGGGAGGGGCCCCAAGAGGCCCGGGTCCCCCCCCCTTATTTTGGGTAAAAAAAAAAAAGAAGAATCGCAGAAGGAGGAAAAGCTGACAGGGTAAGCGACAAAAAATCGGTCCCTCCCTTAGCTTAAGGTCTGGATCCGCCACAGGTGATCTACTTCATTACCGCGCAAAAGTCAAGCGATGCATTTCACGCCACATTACACTACGTCACGAAAGGTAGCGTGTCGCACCTTTACAAGGTCTTGGGACGAGGTCGATCATTTTCTGGTTCTCCATCTTTTTTCTTTGAGTAGTCGATCCTGAGTTCTAAAATGTCCGCGTAATTAGCAACTAATCAGAAACTCTGACGCGAGAAGCTTTTCCAGATTGTCGAACTGATTCTGATTTTGAGTCCGCATCAGACAAGCACTTCACATGAAACCAAACCTCTCAGGCTAATATTAACTTAGTGTCGAAAGCTTCCTGTTTGAAGATAATTTCACTGATTTTCACTGCTGGCCGACTCAGCCGAAGTCGTGATTACAGAAGTGCAGAGTAACCAAACCTGGTTAAAATCAAACTGACGAAGAACAGTAGTGAACCCGTTTATAACTCCGTCTATAACTCCGTCACCTATAACCACGTTTAAATTAAATTAATGAAACCGTATGCACTTTTAAGGCTTAAAAACTTCTATAGTGATTGGCTGGTTCTTCCACTCTTGCTCGCAACTTCAACAATCTTGTTGTTTACTGGTTCAAGGGTTCGATCAAATGCCGAATCGGAAGAATCAGAGGAGTATGGGGCCGTTTTTACTCCTCCGACTCCCATTCACCTCGAGCTTAAGACTCTGCTTACGACTCCAATTACGATATCCACTCACGATGATTCATTGGCTAATAGTTGTTTAGAACATATAAGTAATGTGATAATTCCTCTTATATCAGCGATCATCCGATCCTCTGCCACAAAGAATTATAAAATATTTATATTACAGAATACTTCATAAAATATTTCAATATATTCAGTTGTTTATAGCTTATAAGTGATGTGATAATACCTCTCTTATTAGCGATCACTTGATTCTTTGCCACAAATAATTATTGAATATTCATTTCATGAAATATGTCATTATGAAGAGTCTTGGTGGCCAAGTAATAATGGCTTCCTCAAGCTTTGAAAACATTTCTTGTGGAATTGAGCGAAAGTAATGTACGTTTGGTCCACACAATCAAGCCCATTGGTCGTGCAAGTTGATCCATAGGTTTAAAAGCTTTTGAAACTTTATCGGAAGTGATTTTAAGATATTCAGAGGTGGTAATTTGTCTATTATTGCAGCATGTTGTCGACGCCGAAAGACAAAATCGCTTATTGTTTTATTGTCTAACGCATTAAACTTGTAGGTGCATGAAGTGGAGATATCACTTTTGTGGTCGATCAGCGATGAAAATAAGATATGATAATTTTTACACTTGATCCTCCTTTATACCTGTCTCATTATGAAACAATTACCAACGCCTTCGTCAATAACCAAAGCTTGATGGACTCAGAATATTCACTTGTCTTAACTAAAAAGATTGTCTCGCTTCCACTGTTACGTCTAGACAATCTGAGCGAGGAAAAGCGAGGAAAATTTTTGACTTAAAAACATTTAGCCCCTATGCTGGTTCCCTTGTTGAATCGATACGATTGTCACCACGACCGCTAACATCGCGGAAGTTTTTTATGTTACCCTAATCGCAACGATCATATAGATATAAGGGTTTGAAAGGAAAAAATATTGGTTGCAATCGATGAATCGGTAAAGTTTCATCTTCCGAAAAAACCATCATTCCTTATCGAAAATTAACCCAGACAGAAAGTCATTTCCGAACAAACTTCATTTACAAGCTTGATTAAAAATTGCAACAAATGCATGATCCATTCTAAAACGAAAGAAAAGTCAACAATCACCTGCTCTATCGTCGATTCCCACGTGCTGTAATTGGTTGAATTGACAAAAGGAAGCGTCACAACCGCTGGAAACCCTTCGAATATCATATTGACTGTGCAGTGATCAATAATATATGCTAGCTTGGAAGTCTCCCTGTCGTTTCGGTATATATTAACCAATTTGTAATGGCAAACGGAAACACGCCGAATCGCCAAAGTTCTGATGGTGTTCCTGTTTTGCTTCCACCTCCTCATCCTGGCTCAACAAGGTATCGTAGTCTTTGTGCAACATCCATATTTTGATTATACAAAACATGTATGTAGATGGTGGATGCTACGTACGTGGATTGCTGTTTTAGCAAGATCGGTAACATGCATTGTACTTCGTGTGAAAAACAGGATCATAACAAAATAACATAACTTGACTCTCACTTATCACAGGAATCTCTTCTTTGAAAACAAGCGAGCGGTGAATTGGATCGATTCCACTTCAAGATATCGCCATTTCACTCCAACGTTACGGCAGCTTTCAGAGATAGGCTTACCAGGGGTTCAGAGATCGGCACAAGACATTGCGAAAGCTTATTTCATTATTGATTTGTCTCGCAGCAACACGACCTTGTGTTATCTAGTCATTCATGCATGTAATTTTTGACCCAAAATTCTAGTTGATTTTATTTCTTTCATCACACGCACATCTCATAATGTTCGAGAACAACTGGTTTCACCACTTGGCGCCATAAACTACAGATCAAATGGCCGTGTATGCTACTATAAATTGCCTCCTTGCAACTTAGTTATTATTTTTTTCGTCTTAATCATCATAAACCTGAATTCCTACCGACAGCTTCTTTTTTAACCAATGTCCCAGGCGCTCGCTGCTTCTGAATTTCGAATAATATATATCCCGTGTGCGTTTTATTGACGCGAGAAGAAAATTTATTGTGACAAGTGCCACGGATGTAACACCATACAAAGAAGCTTACGAAGAGAACGTTAATTAAACATGAAATGATAATTTTTTGTTAAACGCAGAACGCTATTCCTTCGGTTTAGTTTTTTACTCGTTTCAAGGCTCAAATAACTTGGCGACGCCATGCAATTTCTCAAAATTGGTTCGCATCTGATTATGAGTTTAATGTTTGCACAAAATTAACATAGTCAACAATGCTTTCAAGGAGGTATCTTTTCGTAGTTCTGCCTGAACGACGTAAACTTTGTCGTGGTTGTCCTTTTTCCAACAGGAATGTGGTAGCACCTTGTACTCTGAGATAATTTTTTCCCAGACTGGAGCTTTCCTCTTCGATTATAACGAAATTTCGGAGCTGTTTATTTTGTTTATTTTTATCAACGAAAACGAGTCATTAGAACGGCGACCATAAATAGAGAAAGAAAACAATTAAAATTAGCTGAAAGCAAAAACCTCAATTCTATAAGTTAACATCTTGAGCCACCTTCCTCGCACCTGCTTAAGTCAAAAACAGTTCGATATTCGAGTTCTCTATAATGGCTCTGATGGTTTAATTTGCCTAGACTAAGGAGAAAACTGCATTTAAAGCCCAGACTCAACATGATGAATAATGTAGTTCTCACCACTTGCGATCTTCTCCAAACTAACGAAAATTTTAGATATCGATCAATTTAAAAACAAAGTTTGAAGGGCTAAAATAAATTATGACTCATACCCGTATGCAGTCATCCTCGAGTAATGTTATCTTAACATTATCGTGTTGATGCGGAGAATCAATATATCGGTTGCCTGGAGAAAAGTTGAGAATCCTATGATCAGTAATTCATTTTTGTGACCAAATTGATTACTTAAGCCAACCATTTTTCGGTCGTTTATTCTGAACAAAAATTTACGCAGCCGAATTTTCAAGTTTGGTGATAAAATTCATTTTTGAGTGCTGCATGCGACGCTAAGTGATTTAATCTGACGTTTAATATTTAGTAAAGGCTGTGCATTTTCAGTGTGAAAGTTGCGAGTTGTAAAATACGAAAATATTCACTTCATAGGTTTGTCTGAATCTTAGCAACCGTCCAACTGTGACAATATCAAAGAAAGCCAATGAATTTGTTGAATTAGCTCCCCGCGGCTTTCGCAACTTTAGCGGTCTCCCAGTATCTTTTTCTTTTTTTCTAAACAATATGAAACTCAATGTTTAATTTTTATTATTGTAAGAAATTTCAAGTCACGTTCAGTGTTGGAAACGAGAATTTCATATTCATTTCCTCGGCTTCCAGTGTGTGAGTTTACCTTAGTAGTACATTTGCTGGCTCGCCAGCCTCAATAAAGTTATTCGTTTCTTGATCAGTCTAAAAAAGCTGGAAAAGAGAATTTTCGTGTCTGGTGTAACTATGTTCCCGACGGCGAGGAACAGACTGATAAAAATTAGAAGAAAGAAACCAACAATTTTTACTCGTATTCAAAGTCACGTTTTTCGATGCCTTTCATTTCTCGTCTTTCAAATCTAATGTCTTTTATAATTTTTGATAAAATTATTGCAGCTTCAGATATTTTCCGATCTTGAAAATACATCGAGCCTTTTGGCTTCCAGAGTTATCTAGAGCGAAGGGTTAGCGAAAGGTCTTTGTTTATAACTACTCGAAAACGAGGTTGACACTTCGGAGGCTTCTAAAATATGTTGACGGGCCTTTGCAGCTCCCGCAATGAGTGATGTCTTGGAGCTTCAGAGGAATTTTCCTTAGCTTTGTTTTCTGGTGTTTCTTGCAAATGGGGAATGATTGTTTTCTTTAATGAGTATAAGGCAGTTTTTCGTGATGTTGTTTTGAATTTAATCTTTGATCATTAGGTAAAAACGCATCTTCGTAAAAAAGTCAAGAGGTCTTTAAAATTGTGTAAAGTTAAACAAGAAAAAAAAAGAATCCTTAATGCAGGGAAATGACTAGGTATCCATATTAAATTCGACGCAAAATTTGCAAGAGGCTAATTTTTGCCATGCTCAACCCCAAGACATGAAGTCTAGAGAAGAAAGAAAATGTCAAGTAAGGATTATATCAGGCACAGTATATTTCATTGACATAAAACCAATTTCCAGTGTTATCCGACGAAGAAAATATAAGGATGGTAGTTGGAAAGATCGGGTTTTAGGCCATTTTATTTTGCACGTTTTGCAGGCCTCTTTGATGTCTTTCCGCAGATGTCTTCATTAAACTTTTGTTTAGCGAAATTAACAATGGCTTTGAAAAACATCGCCATGATTCTTAGTAGATGCAAAGACAAGAAGACCTTTGTTATCAGAGATTTTCCGGAAACTTGTCGGTTCACCATAACAAAAAGATGAGAATCATAACTTTTCCGAGTCCTCTCTAAACCTAAGGTGAATTTTTAAAAGGCACATCATAAGAAAAGGCGATAGAGTCGTTTTTTTGAACCGAAGCCGCCTCTTGACTCCAGCTGGGTTAATTGTGTTGGTCAGATTTCATAACCAAAAAACTTGCTCATCTCCTCCGCCTTAAAAAGACATATCTTCTGCTCAATTGTAATCTTATCTCGGTAGTTGAAAATTTCATTGTTAATAAAGCTAAAATAAACCGCTTTTTTAGGTCTTATCCGTTCGTTAATCTCGTGCAAATTCTCTTTATTGCGGTTTTTCTTTAAGCTCAGCATGAAATATTCTCTAACTTTGAAATCTTTCATTTGTTTTTCAATTTATTCAATGAAAGTCGTCACGCGATCGAACATTTGAGAACGATTACTTCTCAGGCAAAGACCATTTCATATCTCAATTTACAGAGTGATATGCAGAGTTTATTAATGATGATTATTTTGAATCGGTATCTATTATAGATGCATTAGAACAGTGTGACTGAGTAAGCAAATAATGGCTGTTTTAAGTTTTTCTTGATTAGCCATGGCCTGAATCATTCAGAACCTACTTTTTGACGCCGAAAAGGGTGATTTTCTTAATTACGGAAAAAGTTCTGAAATTGTGTAAAAATCACAAAGAGTTTTCAGGAATAATTAGATGTAGCAGCTGCTCTTCGGGAGCAGCTAACAACATGATAATGATCGTAAAAACGACAGAATATATCAAAGATTGTTCTCAAGTCGCCTTCCCTGGTCGACATTAGCCAATGGGTCCAAGAATGTGACTTTGACATCTGTGGTTGACGGTGGTGATCTAAATAATTCATGAATCTTCGGAAGTGTTGACGAGAGCTGTAGATGAGTAATGATGTCTGCTGCACTATCGGGTGCGATAGAAACTTGAGGAGGTTTTAGGTTCAGTTTTGGAAGGAAAGAAGAGTTCCATAATTTCTCGTAACGTAAATTTTCGCGCGAAAATAATTGGAGCAGTTTGATTGCGCATGACTGCGTAATATTCGCAAAGAAAAGAATATGGCGACCGGTGGAAAGAAAGTTAGGATACAGACTAAAGTAAAGTACACCAAGTCGGTTCCTTCCACGACTGTTATGAACGATTCTGATCTTCTTGGCCCTAGGTACCGTCTCAAAGATCTCCTCTCGTCAGATAAAGGCGAAGACAAGGAAAGGTAGGCGGCAAATATGTTTCTTTTTGACATTAAATTTACGCAATGTTGATTTGTTTTGATGTACCAGTATCCCGCTCCTTTCACGACCAATTTCTTATCGGCCAAAGTGAGCTGCTTTGATTAAACCATTGGACCAGGTTTCCTTATTTGTTGATTGCTATGAACGAAAATCATTGAAAAGGGCACAAAATATAGAGTTAAAGCGATTTTAATTTTAGCAATGCATGCCTAGTTGCGTGGTAAATTATCTACCGAAGAAGTGTGGCATGTCTTTATTTTAGAGTTGTTTAGAAGCTGTCTTGACTCATAATCTTGACTTTATATTATTAAAGGCGTATCCTACTCGCTTATTATAAGACCCGATAATTTTTTTATTTTCTCTCGCGTTCAAATACGTTGAAATTGCACTATGCTGCTAATTGTTTCTCGAACTCAACTCTTGTTGCAAATACCATTCAGGAGAGGATCATTTTTCGGTGAACCTCTTACTGTGACGGATACGATAAGAAGATGTCGCTTTTCGATCACCGAATTAAGTTCTTTCGTTTATTTATGAAATTCTCCTGGAAAAGAAATTAAAACAAAAATGAATGAAATAAAAAAAGATACTAATTAAAATTGGGTATATATACGTATTCGGTTTTGTTTATTTTTTCAGTGTAGATTTATTTTGCGCCACGAAAACTTTTAAAGATTTGCAGCTGGGTTAATGCCGTTTTCCCCCAAAACAATTGATCTCATTAGCTTCTTTGCCGGTGTAGTCTGTTAAAAATCTCCTTGAGGTAAGGCTGCCTAATCATCTGAATTGAAGCGGATTGGACTGTTGAAAGTAAAGTTGTCCCTTTGTTTGGCTAGTAAATTACCGATTTGAATAATGAGTTATTTATTTATTTAAGACATGTTGAAGACGGTTTGGAATTTTAGAGTAAAGTATAGACGAAATTGTTTGCCTTTGTGGATTGATTTGTGAAAGTAATATCCTTTGATATTTGTTGAATTATTTTTTTGTAATTTGATCAATAATTTATGGTTGACAGACCTGAGTGTAAGCGGGTGAGAATGTGAGTGTGCCAGCTCATTTTCAAGGATGATAGGAAAATTTTAGTTTTAAGATTCAGTTTACAGCTTTTCTGGTTGGATGATGTAGCTTTTCCTTGCCCAAACAATAGTCACAAACACAAATCTTGAGTCACAGTTAATTCATCTGCAATTAAATATGACAGAATATTCTTATATTTGTCAACATAAAGTTGCATGATATTTTACTAATGGTGTGCTTGTTTGAATAAATTTTAAAGCAGGAAATATACTCCATGCAAATTGAAGGAGGCTTTAGGGCTGTGATGGGTGTGATAGGTGTGGTCTGAAGTGAACTTTATAGAATTTAATCCCCATCCAATGATTTTTCTGTCCATTAGAAAGCTGTTTTGGATAATAAGAAGGCTGAAATTATATATGCAGTAATATCTTAAAAGATTTTAAAAATATTTCTTGTACTTTTTCAGCCTTTAAGCAGTATTGTGTTTTGATGGCATATATTGTCTTTTCAGTCAAGTGTAATGCTCAAAAAATATAGAATTGACACCCACTTTGCTGTTAATGATTCATGAACTTACAGAACACTTTAATTTATTATTATACAAAATCAACAAATGAAATTACAGCTTTTGAAACATATAATCAGAAGTCATGCAATGGTAACAAAATTGCTGTTTGCAGTAGGGCTATGCTTCTAAAAGCACTGCAGGGTGCAAGGAGTCTATTGTCATACAAATCAAGGGCGACAAGTTCTTTGTGACACACAGTGCCCCACAAGAAAAGTTTGTCATGTGTGGCATATAGGCCCTTCTATAGTACAGCCCCAGATAAAAAGGATTAGATTCTGACAGGTGGCAGGAGTCTCTGGGGGATATATGTGTGTTTAACAGGGTAGTATACAATTAACAATATTATGCCTTGCATGGACAGAAAAATTGCCAGCAGCTACACAGCAAGACATATTTATTTGGGACTTACTTATGATGTTCTTGTGTCCCTCTCGTTTCTGATGTTGTTAACCCTCTAACTCCCAAGATCTGTTTGTTAATTCTCTCCTCTAGCTACTACACATTTCCTTCTAAATTAGTTATGAGAATGTGGTGCTAGATCAAGATAGCAACTTCTACCCGATAAGTTTGAATATTCTCATTACCTGTTTGCTGAATAATGTATGGATATTGTAGGGAGAAGTTTTATGTTAATCACTTCTGGGAGTTAAAGGGTTAATTAACATTAAGAGAGCCAGGAAGAAAAGCAAATATGTCTGGGAGTGTAGCTGTGGCACAATTTATTGCATTACCCTTGACCCACTTATAGGTTTGTCATAACTAAGGCAAGATGTTTTTGCCCACACAATGTCTCTCCTGCCATAAGTCTGAATGGGTATCAGAAAAGCTGTCTGGAAATCTTCATGATTTGCTGGAATGGTTGAGAGGGGGAGGGGGAGGGGGAGGGGGGGG